CTTATTGAAAAATAATTCACATGAAATATTAACAAAAAATACAATATTTGTATATATGTATGAGAAACACTGCAGCCGCTGCGGTGGAAGAGGACAAAGGTACCAGCTACTAAAGGACTTGGCATCAGTTGGCGCCAATAAGCCCAGAACAGAAACGAACAAATTCGGCCAACTATCATATGCCACACAGCTTCATGTGTAAATAAGTTTTGTCTTATGGCGATTTCTTTTCTACAAAAACTGTTGCCTTTTCAATGCCCTCTCCTTAGTATTTGTGCGTAGAGGGCATGAGAAGGCAACATATTTCGGTAGAAAGGAAAACGCCATTAGTTATTCCTATTTTCAAATTTTTCGGATATCGAAAAAACGAAGAGCTTCGAAAAAAGTCGACATATCAAGCCCTAACCACAAAAAATTTAGGATTTCTTTTCAAAACTTACTTCTTGAAGCAGAAATACTCTAGGACCTAGAGTCTAGATGAACAAAAATCTGACGGAAAGTAAATATTTAGAAAATTAAAGCAAATTTTCGCCGAAATGCCGATTCAGAATAAGAAAATAGGGGCAAAGTTTAATGCTTCAATTCCGAAGCGCCCCGCAAATGAGAAATTGGTCATTTAATTTTCTTTTGTGGCGTATGTTTGGACTTTAGGGTGTATGTCGAGAATTTATTTACACTTTTAGCGGTGATAGCAGTAAATACACATCATATCCGCTGTAAAAAATTTCGAATTATGGCCGGTCCTTGCGTTCTTCAAGTTGTCAAGTCAACTCCGCACAGGTGCAAAGACCGTCTAAGAGCGTTTATGCATCAAAATTTAATTTTGAACAAAATTCGTTTGAGCTAACTGCGGTTTGAAGGAAACATGAGACCGTAAAATTTTAATTTGTTTGTTTCATTCTCTGAACCGCCCCTGTTATGATATGGCACTTCATTCTATGTAGTAGTTTACACGTATACTTCTACAATCACAAAAAATTGCATAGGCTGTCTTTCTTTGATTTCGAATTGAAATCACATTGTGATCATATTGTACTAGCAATATAGAAGTATTACATATATGCTTCCGGTATTATTAGGAAACGATGAAAAGTAATTCAAATCAATTAAAATACAAAGGTACAGTTGATGACAAAACAATTTCACCACTGATGTTTCCCGATTTGAATCTGCTGCCCCAAACTTTGTGAAAAATTTAAAAAAAAAATTCAAGAAAGGATTGGAGTATGAAGTTTCTCAGTCCTTATCATAATCGGTATTTCTTTTTTTAACAATAACAAGAGAGGTGAAGTGAAGTAAGGTGAGGCGAGGTTAAAGCAAGTTGAAGTGAGTTGTGGTGCAATTTTTTTTAAAGGAATTTTATATATAGTAGTTATCGTTCTAGGTTAAAAAATATATTTCACTTTAGTATAAGTTCCGACGACATAATGGATAATATTCTGTAGTAAAATGTCCCGCCAGTCAAAATGGAATGGCCCATATGTAATGCCTCTCCCATTGTATAAATTTTTTAGGAATATCTGAACCACAGCGCCAACTATCGTGCAATTTTCAGCGCTTGTTGCGAAAAAACTACCCCACAACAAAAGATAGCACATCACCATTTTTATTAGTTGTGACTACTTTTCTTTTGGTTTTTTTTTTAAAGTTCAAATCGCTTCGATTTTCTTTCGTACAAAGTAGTTTTTTATATGGAAAAAGGAGCATAACACCGTCAGCAAAAAAAAAATGATCAAAAATCAACGCGATTTTTTAGCAACTTCAAACTTGCATTTTATTATACTAGAATATAATAAGCTATAAAAATCCATAAGTAGTATTTACTGGAAATCAAAATTAAAACGCTTGGAATTGGGAAGAAAAGTTCATGGAATTTTTGTACAAAGTCGGAAAATTTTATTTATATGGTATTTCTTAGATTTTCCAAGTTTGGGAGAAATTATTATTAAATATAGTTAAGAAATAAATAAATCTCTTGCGTCTGATATTGTAATACCTATGTACATATTTCATGTGCCTGATGAATTAAGTTAAATTTTATTTTTTAAATACGGGACAACGCTCCTAAATACAGTTCAGAAATAAAGCCTTTTTGAACCCATTTCATTGGATACCCATATTTTTCATAATTGCTTTAAATTATTAAATAATTTAATTTAATTTTATTCTATTAAATAGTTTACCTTTTTAAACACGTGGTAACTCTCTTAAATATTCCAACTATTCAAACTAAGAACATCTTAGCACCTTCGTCACGTCATACTTTAATATTTATTTAACTTATGCACACTTTAATTAAATTCTAATTTTAAAACAGGTGGCGACCCTATTCACATTATTTTAAAACCAAATTCTTGTTAAACCTTTTTCGACTGACACACATATTGCGATACATATTTAAATTGTGTATCTAATTCCCTTGGTTCAAGTTCAATTTAATTTCTAAAACATATGGCAACCCTCTTAGTTAGAGTTCAGAAGAAACTATTTTTAACCCATGTCAATTCATACCCACACTTTAATAATTCCTTTAACTTAATTAATAATTTCAGTTTAACTTTTACACAGGTGGAAACCCTCTTTAATGTTATAAATGTAAAAATAAATAAATATTTCTCAACACTCCTTCGTTTGACGCCAGCATATTAACATTCCATATAATTTAATTTAATTCGACTTTTCAAACAGATGGCAAACCTGATCAAATTAATTTTAAACCAAAACCCCGATAAACCTTTTTCGTCTGACACTTGTATTGTGATACATATTTAAATTATCTAATACTCTTAATTCAAATTAAGTTTAATTACAAAATAGGTAGTAACCCTCCTACATGCAGCTTGGAAATAAAGTTTCTTCAAAGCAAATTTTGATTTATATTCACATGGAAGTAATTTATTTAAATTATTGCTTATATTGAATCTAAGTTTGTAACAAGGGGGCAACGCTCTACAAAATATTTTCAAACTACAACCTTTATTTAAGTCGAAATTTCTTTTTGAAATAGGTAGCAATCCTCCCACAAATAATTAAGGAATAAAGCCTTTTCAAAACCTTTTCGATCGATACTCATAGTGTAATATGTAATTGATTTAACCTAAAACTAATTTTAATTTATTTTTTTTATCAGGTGGCAACTGTTTTTGAAAAAATTTGAAGTTATTGCACATCCACAGGCCAAACCGATACCTCATTTTGTAAAATCGGACGAACAGTACAGATCCGATATGACGAAAAAGGTTTCACGTATTATGCATTCATACTACTAAATTTACATTCATACGCTGCGGTTAGGTTCTAAATATTGCGCCACCTGCTACTCAAAAGCCGAAGTACCCAAACACACATACTTGTTGTCTCCTTCTCTCACTTTGCAAAATGATGACGAAGTGATTTTGTATGGAAAACATTTAGGCCCATATATATGAAAAAAGTCATCAAATTTAGAAGATATCCACCAATACTTCCCATATACCAAACGAAAGGAAAAAGCTTGAACTTTTGATTAAAGGAAACACAAACAAAAACATTCGAGCTGTTTTCAAACGTTTTGGTAATAATGGTTTTTTCAAAAATTGTTTGTCTTAAAATGCTCAATATTTGTTAAATTTATATAAAAATGTGTGCACGATTATACTTCTATTGCTCCGAAGAACCTATATCCTGAAAATACATAAAAGTTGTATCTGCAAATCATAAGTTGCTACAACACTTCAAAGGCTCAAAATTGACCCCAAAATAAGCCAGTATTTACAGCTGTTTCTACGACGGATTGGTTACTTACAAAAATTAATCCGTTGGTACGTGTAGAATTTTATCTTTGAGACGCCACTTTTATCTTTGAAATCGCTTCAATACGTCGCCTGGGTAAAAGATTTTCGTAAGCGCCATTTTGACGATTTTTAGTTCTAGATGCAGTTATATATTTTGAAAAAAGGTCTTTCGATTGGTGTTATCAGTTTTTGGATATCTCCTTTAGTTTCCGAGATATTGACTACAATTTTTTCGATAGTTTAGTAAAAATTTTGTTAGTGATGCAGTCATATTAAACTAATTAATATATATCTCCTTTACTTTCCGAGATATTGAGTGAAAAGTGTCGTTAATTTGGTAGAAATTTTGATCACTATTGGGGTAATCACAACGGTATCGTAGATGTCGTATTGTTGTATGTCGTAAACTTTAAAAGCCTAACAAATATATTAAGGGGGGGGTTCGCAAAGTACCATCAGAGTCCTTTTATGAATTGTTGCAGTGTTAAAAATAGTTGGTTGTCGTTTCAAGTTCTCTAAACATTTATTTTAAAGTTTACGACATACAAAAATACGACACTTACGACACCGTTGTGAATCACTCAATTGTGTCATATTTTATATAAAGTGGCTGCCAAATTGTGGACTTCATAGAGCTTTTTAAATCTATTTTATTTTCTATGAATAAGGCCATAACTTTTTTAGGTAAAATGTTTTCCTCAAATTAAGTGTAATTAGAAATTTTCATTTTCCTTCCCTGCTACAAGCCCTAATACTAATAGTAATTTTAACCGAGAACTGTAAGCTATAACTTCAGATATTTACTGTTGCATAGATATGGACTTATTTAGAAGACAAAAGGGTGGTCTGCAATCGGAGGTTGAGTACATATATTAGCCATTTCCATACTGTAAGCAACACACAACAATAAACTACTCTGATTAATGTTTAAATGAGTCCTTTCTTGGCTCATTTGACTAAGGCAAGATATTTTGTATTAAAGAAAAAGAAATTGGGCAAACGTACATAAATATTGTCTGTAGCACATAGACTCACTTGAATCAGACTCCGTTTATTTAGCACATGTCTATAGTGTTACTTCGTTATCAGTATTGCCGAGACCATATTTTTGCTTTTTGCATTTTGCATGCGAAAAAGTACTACATACATATGTATATACATAACTGTGTACATGTTCAATGAGTTAGGCAGGCTCAACGCCTGATTTTAACCTATACTCAAAGATGATTTCGCTGACACTTCATCGGAAGCTTTCGAAGATGTAAGTCGTACAGTTGCACAAGTTGTAGCGCTTGATCATAAATTAACGCGAAATATCGTATGTACATATTTTTGCTGCGGTAATGATGAGAATAGTGCCACAAGTGTTAACACCTTACTAAAAAAAAAAATAGAACAGGAAAATATTGCAAAAGATTAAAAAAAAAAGAAGAAAATTATACAAACAAAACTGGAAACGCGATTCTCAACTTATTATAATAAAAAAATATCTGTGATTTTTGTGTACCTATTTAACAAAACAACAAATTACATATTTTCAAACGATAAAGCCAACTGACTTACACATACCTACATAGAATTAGAAGAGATTAAATAAGTTTAGATTGCACGTTCAACTCAAACCGTGAAGGTTATTAACTCACACGGAAACGCGAAGCTTACAAAATATACATACATACATACATACTTTAAAGGTGAGTAGTTGAAGGAAAATAATGCTGCAATTTTACTTTGCTTATTGTGCACATATGTACTTATTTATTTATTTGAAGTTCCACCCTGTGTGTAGCTCCTTCAGGTTTAAAAATGTGTTTACAAGCTTCGCATTTAATTCGCTTTTCAAAAACATCAATAATATTGAGTCTTATGAATCATGATTTACGTAGGTTGCTATTGAAAAAAAGTTCCTATAAATGTGTTTATTTATTTGCAAAGGAAATCTGAATTTCAGACATTTTCTCGGGGTCCTTCCATATGAATATTTATATCTCTTAACAGAGTATTAAGTGAAATAAATAAAAACACCTCTATTATAGCGGATGGATCGCTCTTTCAAATGAGCTTGGTTTTTAATATGTACCACAATTAAAAAAAAAAACTAAAAATATGACACCTTGCTATTGCGCGTATTCTATTTAGGCAAAACTTGAATGAAATAATTGAAATTTGTCATAGTCAGAAACTGATACTGAGAAAAGCATTTTTATACTCGCAATCGAATATTTTACAAGATTCTGTCGAACTCCTTCCCTTTAAAAGATATTCCCGCGGAAAGACTCCGCAAAATTCTCAAATACCCTTACTTTTCAATGATATTCATAGTAAGTATGTAAAGGATATGTCAAAGGATATTTTTAAAATTTTTTAATTAACACTTCCATATTGGTTCCTTAATCAAGCCGGGAGGATATGTCAAATACTTTATTTTCTTTATTCAATATTATGAAACGCATTTTTTTAAGGGAGGAAAAGAGTTTGTTATAAAAGTTGAATTTGATAATTTAATGTTCATCATCCCAATTAAAGAATGTTCTACAATTGCCAATTTTCAGGACATAAACAAATTATTCGACTTGAAAAAATATCGCTAGCTTAGAGTGAAAAGTTGTTACGTCCACTTTTTATGAAAACTAATACTTTAATATAGAAGGCTAGATAAATTTAAAATGTATGGTTCCGAAAAGGATAAAGGTACTTATTTTATTTTTTCCCCGTTTATATTTAATAAAAGGAAAATTGGTTGAGTCCAAAATCACACGAAATCTTATAATAAATATCGAATCATTCTGATTCTTATGGAGTTTTGCTTTGCTTTAAATACGTAAAATATTGTATTCAAAGTTTTGCGAAATACTTGAACAAATTGAGTATAAGTAGTTTTTTCCTCTCCTGTAAATATAGTAAAATTGGACTTAGACACTTTTCACTTTAAGCTAGCGATATCGTTTGCAACCTTGTAATATATCCTGACACAGCCGCTGTACTTTTTCCATTTATTAATTTTTTCGATGTCCTTAAGGGAAATCCTTCCCTCCTTTTAAAAATTTAAATATGTAGATTGACTAGAAATGCCTTCGATGAGAAACATGTCGAATTTTTCGCATTTCCAAAATTACCATGGACAATTGGTAAATATTTTTTGATTTCAAAATAAAAAATAGGGATATATTTTTTTCCGGAGAAAACTCTCCTAGTGAGGGTGAGAGCATACAACTTCCGACTTTCCGCACTTTGCTATGCTCCTCATTTCATTAGGGCAATCTATGTAGAAACGAGGATCCTTTAAATAAATTAAAAAGTAAATTTACCACAAAAATCGTACATACCAAATAAAAATTGTGGCGAACGTTCGGAAATGCCCTTCGCTATCCAATATCTAACTGAGAACAAACTCATAACCAACCTTAGTTTTCCAACGTTCATAGTATATTGGAAATACACTCGAGATGGGCTCGAAAAAAATTAAAACCATAGTAACAAGAGAGAAAGTGAAATCCAACTTATTCTCGAAGAGAAATATATATAAGCAACGGTATCGACTAGTATCGGCCAAATCGGATTCTTATCCGATTCTTTCTTTTTACTTTTTTTGCACTTCATTCCGTGTAATTTATTTTTTTTAATTCCTTTAAAGTTTAAAATATTAATGCATCTGAGTTCCCGTCATAAATATGTTTTCATGTTTCGTTTCTATGATGTACGGTGGCGAGAATGTAAGTAGGGAAGACACATTTCAGCAGGTTTTGGCTATTTTTCTTTGTTTATTTTTGTCATGAAAGTGTAGCTTACTATCTAAAAACCCCGTAAATCAAAATTTCAAACTTTATAGAACATTAACAAAAATTCTACCATTTTTTGCCCCGGCCGATTAATCGGCATCGACATCGGCATGGGCCACAAATTGGCAATCGGTCGGACTTCGAAAATGATTGGAACACAAATCTTTTTTCAAGTATCACATTCGATATAAAAGTGGAATAGGTAAGAATTCGATTCGAAAACTAAGCCATTCTCCAGCGACAGGGAACCTTCGGTATCGAATGTATGTTCCCTTCGTTATGAATTCGAAATCCAGCTCATTACTGAATTGAAATTTTAATGCGAGTGAGTGATTATCTTATATTTCACTTCGAGAATAAGCTGGATTTTTTATTTATAAGCTTAACTACCGATCGCGAACATGCGATTATTCCATCATTTTTTATGCCTTTCATGAACATGAAATGGTATTATAAATTTGGTCCGACATAAATGTTTGCCAAAATTATCAGAACGTCGAGCTGAGTCGATTTAGCCAAGCCCATCTGTCTGTCTGTTTCAACGCAATTTAGTGCCCCAGTTTTCGAGATATCCGACTGAAATTTGGTAAGCGAGTGTATTTTTATAATATGTCAATCATACATAGTAGTCCATTATAACTTATAGCTATAAAAAGCTACCTTACTGATAAAAAATCAATGAATTTTCAACTCTTTGCGAACAATGTGAAGCTATTCGTAAGAAAAGCTAAACTCGAATTGCGGGACTAAAGGGTGGTCCAAGTTTTTTCCAGCCCAGTGAAAATCCCATTTGGGTGCAACAGATAACCAATTTTGGACTCTAATTTGACACTTATATGGCTTTAGGTAGCAATTCTACTTCGGCAGTTTTAACCTTGAATAAATATCTCGTTTGTAAGATTGGCTTCCCTTAAATTAGTTGCTTGTCGTGGTGTAAACAGTAGCTACTGTACACATAAACCATAATTAGCCACTGACTAAATCAAATTTCGTATATTATTTCGTGATAAATCTTAAAGCAAATGCGTAACACATCCATAAATGCACTTACATATGTATGTACTGTACACCTACATACATATGTACATACATATGTATTTACGATATATGTATATACCACATATCGGTGCTCTCAAATTCATCGCACGTCTTACAGCTTAAAAAGTTTGTCCAAACTTTGTTGTTAAACATTTTAGGTTATTTTGATTAACCCATATATGTATGTATGTATGTATGTAGCTATACGCACGCATATCAGTAGATATTAAAGAGTTTACACGAAAACACAAATATTACGAAATATGCCTAAAGTCTTATGATTCTTTAAGCTTATTAGAATAAGCCATTAGTATGTACATTAGGGTGGTCCAAAAACAGTAAAGTCGGAATTGTAATGCTCTCACCCCCTAGGATTGTTCTATATCGTAAAAAGTATACCCCTATTTTTTATTTTGATATCAAAACATATTTAGGGTCACTCAAAGCGCTCAAAGTTTTCCATGTACTTTTATATGGGAAAAAACAACTTTTCGTATAAATGGTATAGAATTCTTGAAAATCAATTATTTTCGATCGGAAAACTCGGGTTATCTTCAAGAGACTTTCAGTTATAATACCCAATTGTTTATTTAACAATTTTTTAATACTAACGATTTTTTATTGGTCCCCCCATTGAATTCAGTACGTCTGGCAACCATAATTTAAGTTCAATTGAATTCAAGTTTCGTAATGCATTAATTTAAGACAGCAATTTCTTAAATTCTGTCATGGTCTAGGTCTAGTGACTTTTGCAGTAGCTTTCACATGCTCTTTATTTGGGCTTCAAAAAATCCTGCTCCTAACTAGGTGTTGATTCATTTATTTTCGAATCAATTGGCATTACTAGCTAACTATATTTGTTCGAATTTTTCTCAAAACCGTCATTGTATTCACATACTTTTGGAAATGAAAGTTTCCTAAAAATTCCGATAGGCCCGGTAAAATATGAAAAGTGCCGAAAAAAGCATCAAAATGTCCAGAAAAGTTCCAAGAAGTAAATTACAAAAAATCCCGAAAGGTCCCGAAAAAAATCCAGAAGCGTTTCGAAGGAGTCCAAGAAACTTGCTTAAAAATTTTGGAAAAGTAAAGCACAAAGAATAGCAAAAAATCCGTAATGAATTTAAATAAATTTTAATGTAATTTTTATCCATATTGGCGGAGCGTCTTCTGGAACAACTTTCTAACTTTTTAAGTCATCCAATAACCGAGATTCCCGAAAATGTCTTTAATATTCTAAAAAGTTCCACTCACTGACGCTGCTAAGGGTCACATAGATTTCATTCCGGCCAATATTCAGCCATCTTGCTTTCCGTTAGGAATTGCGCCAGAAAAACAACGGGACAAATTTTGGCAATATGGTTTTTAGTAAATAAATTCCCAGGGAATGAACTTTGTTGTAAAACTATTTTCTTTTCTTCAAAATCATATTACATTAATGTATTATTGATTTTTAGTTTTCAAAAAGGCGTACCTTGTACTTTTGAACCTCCGAAAATTCCCCTGAGAAATCCCAAAAAAACATCCCGAAATCGTCCGACGAGTTCCAAAAATTTTGGTCTAAAAGCCCGAAAGGCACAACACGAAGAATAGCGGAAAGTCAAAACGTCACCGTGAAAATAATGCAAGCTTAGAATTTTATTTTTGTCCTAAAAAAATTAAAAAGCGAAGATTTTTCTAGTCATTAGGAAATAATATTCCGCAATCAGAAAGGAATCTAATGGTTCGAAAAAAAAAAATACTAAAATGTTTACGTTTACTTACTTTTACAGTCTTTGTTAGCAACCGAATCTACAAGGCTTGAAATTTTTAAATAATTAGTATTACCTAAAAAGCAACATTAAAAAAATCAAAAATATTATTTAGAAAAATTTGCTTACTAAAAATTAAATAAATAATAAACATAAACCACTTTTATGGTAATTAACAAAGTGAATAAAATTTCTTATTTAATTTATTTACTTTCAGAGAAAATGAATTCTTCAGTATCCTTCCTTTTAGTGATGATCTGTGCGGTCGTTTTAGCGGCACAACAAGGTCAAGCAAAGAGTGAGTATTTAATACGGAATTTAAAGTAGTAGTGTATTATATCTGTTTTGCGTTTATGTAACTTGCTTTACTGCGATTAAAGCAAGTTTACTGCCTTTAACAATTCAGCGAACCAACGTACGCAGCGAAAGGAACCGACAAGATTTCCTTCACTCTTAGCTGAGATTCGAATATCTTCGCTATCGTCCGATTTAAATTTTGTACTTTAACAAATACATTTATTTGGGCATTTCACGCTTACTAAAGCGTCGTAAAGTCGTGTATTGTGTCACAATTAGGCAAATTAATAAGTGTGGTACACATCTAATAAGAACTCGAAATTCATTCTCAATATGTATGTACGTATCTCGAGGAGACGTTCATTGCTTGCAACATTGCAATTTAGGCGATAACCCGCAAATGGCTGACTTGCTGTTTGTTGCATTAGGTTTGTGGACGTAAAAGTCGCGCGTTCTGTATGGAAGGCTAAAACAATACAGCACAACGAGTAGGTAATCATAAGCAGCTGCCGTAAAATTGAATGCATTTGTAAGGACGAAAGAAGAAAACAAAACTATAAAAAGGAAGCATATTATATGTTTGTAGGTAACAATACAGCAATAGAGCTTAGACAGTGTACATATATGTCCATAGATAAAATGTTGCTAACAATTTCTGAAATGAGCAAAATACTACTTGCTTACCTTCAAAATTGTATGCGACATTTTAAAGAGTACAGAATAGGAAAATAGTTCTTGTCCTCAGAGATCTACATATTATAATTCTATGCAGTTTAACTCATCTGTATATGGTCTTCTCTCGTGGCTATTGTCTGAAAACAGAAACCTTTAACGTCTTGCAATTGTGTGTACAAAGTTTCGGAGAGGCACTGATACGTATCTGCACAACAAATTTCGAAAATTTTAAATAACTAGTTCCCATATCTTGCTAGGGGTTACTCAATATGAATATAAATGTTTGTCAATTTATCATGAGTAAATGGATAGATATTTTTTGAGGTATTCTCTGCGACCAGGAGATCCATTGAGCCCTTTTGCTACTCACAACGCCTACTTCAGTCCGACCTCTATTAATGCTTAATAACGCATCTTCTCGACACTGCATTGCATTCGGGGAGCAGGTGCTCAGAAGTATCGACTGCTTGATCCCAAAAACGGCTTGAATCGTTAGACCAGATCTCTAATTTTTGTAAGTGACTTATTAAACTATAATGACTTCCGAAAAAAAAAAAATTAAACAAAAGTTGCGTATTTTTGTCCACGGAATTCGAATCTGTAGTAAGAGCATACATGTATAATTAAAAAAAAATTGCTTCCGGTCTAAACCGGAAAAAAGTCTCAGACAAGAGGTATGTATGTATTTTTATGCGCAGAATCCGAATTAGTGTTAAAAATATGTAATCCTATTTAAAAAATTAACTTCCGGCTGTATAATTCATTTCTGGTCGAAACCGGAAGTCGATAATACCACCTGAAACATAGAGCATCCCCGATTTAGTAGGTAAAATTTTTGCTGGTTTCAATAAAAAACATTACCCTCCAGTTTAGAAGGGGTGGGCAACAGCAGGCATTTATATATTTGTTCACAAAATAAGAGGAGCGCTATATTTTGACCAGTTTTTCTATTTATCTTTTTTTTTGTTTAATGTTTATTAGTTTTTTGTAAAAGTATGTAAACAAATTTTCAACAATTTATTCAGAGTTTTAGAGGTGTGGTGACACCAAGGCGCGAACTTGTACGCAAGTGTGCCCGATTATAAAAATGACAATCCCCTTATTTCTATAACAAGCAATGCAATAAAACCGTATGCAGTTCTCCTAGTGCATTCATATTATTGTGACACCATTCGAAATACTTACATATGACAATTGCTGAAAGGAAGTAGTTGACACATACCATATTGGCGTTAAAATGTTGCCTTTTGTTTATTTATCAGCACCGTTTCGACGGGTATTGTTTTCATCCAGCATATTTACATATGTATGTACGTATTATGTACATTATACCACACCACCTTCCAAACAAACACAAAAAAAGTCGATGTTTGCACCTGAGTCTAAAATATTTTTGCTAGGCAACTTAAAAAAAAAAATAAAATTTGCCCGAGCGACGATAGGCCAAACAAAAATTTGTGTTTCAAAACGTTCCAGAAACAAAACATCCATATATCGTACTTTAGAATCCAACTGTAAATAGCCGAAAGCGACCCCCTACTTTCTTAGCAAAAGTTTAATAATTTTTGGCGAGATTGAATTTACTCATATTAGGGTGGTACGTTCGTGTCGTAGCAACTGAGATCTGGTAAGTATATACTAGTTCGGGGTACTTGAGGCCAATGAACTGTGTAACAAACACAATTGCCTCCGACTGTAAATGCCGAAGATATACCTAAAAATGTAAAAATGATACCCTTAAGTTCGGCCAAAAAAACTGTGTAGTAACTTAAATGGCATAGTGGTATGCACTCATTTGAGCATAGGTATGTAGATGGGAGATAGGTATTTTCCAACAAGTAATACAAACAATATTATGTAGTATGGGCACTGTACATACATTAGGGTCGTGCAATAAAAAAAAATTCAGAATTTAAATGCTCTCACCCCTAGTATGCCCCTGATTTTTCGTTGAAATGGTATAGGATTCTTGAAAATCAATATTTTTTCGATTGGAAAACTTTGTTTCTCTTCAAGATATTTTCAATAATAATACCCAATAGTTTATTTAACCATTTTTTTAATATTAACTATTTTTTATAGGAACCCTAAAAATTTCCGACATTACTTTTTCACATGCATTTTTAGACCACCTTAATACTTATTCACTAACTGGCAACATATTTATTTATGCTATTGTTTCTAGCCATTGTGCATAAATATGTTATATATGTATATTTGTTCTATTTATACGCAACAAAGTTCAACGAGCTTTGATCTCGTAAACGCGTATACCTCTCATGGCTATAATTTTTTCTTTTCAAACATCTTTACTTCATACATTTCAATTAAATTTGTTATGTAAATTGTTTATTTTAAAAATAAAAATGTTATATTAAATCTATTAATTAAATCTTTATTTTCGGTCTATTTAATGTGGCCTCTAGGCAGCGCGGCATAAACGAGATAAGAAGAGTAAACATTTTTTTTTTTTTTTTGTTATAAAAAGATTTGTTTATGCATATCGTCGTTTAGAGTACAAAACCGCGTATCAACAAAATACAAAACCGCGTATGTGAGGTTGTATAAATTACTTTCTAGACACTGGTATTTTAGGATTCTCTTTAAAACAATCGCATTTCTGGCCAGGACGTTTGGATAAGGATTGAGCCAAGAGCTTGTGTGCGCAAAACTAATTTTTGGCAGCAAATATCAGTTACGCGGTTTTGTAGAATGACGATACGGGGTTTTGTACTTTAAACGACGATATGTATGTATATTGTTTACATCTACATACCCCCCAAACATACAATATTGACTTATATATTTAAGTCAAGTGAACATGTATTTATGTATGTATGTTTGCATGTATCCGCAAACAAATCAAAATCATCAAAGCATATTAGAGTCACCCTCACCTCAATTATAAAGTGAGTACAAACTCATGATAAGGATTTAAACAATGCACAGAGGCAATGACGAGTCAGCTACGCAAGACATATGTAGGCAATGATATTTATTTCCTAATGCTCGTGCAAATGTTTATACATTCAATCCCGAATCATTTTAACAATCCCGGGATGACGGGAAGCAAAAATTCCAATTCCGGGATCGCGAGATTTCGACTTCATTACCAATTTTTGCATTTTACAGTAGGTTCACCTTTTTCAAATCACACAGATATTCATTGTCACCACATTTGGCCTTAGAGGAGCATAATGCCCCTTAGTAAAAGAGTACATAATAAAATATCTGTATTACTTGTCAAAAACATTTACTCATATTTGCGGAAATCCTTTTCCAACAAACGCCAACAAAGTAAAATGAAGAACAACTTGGCCACACTGTAAAAGCTTCTTGTGTTTTCAATTGCTACCAGATTTTTCGTTATTACACAGTTCTTGCACAAAATATTTGAACAAGTACAGTTATTCAGTCAAGTCCTGAAATTCACCTCCAAGTGCAAATGGCTCAAGTTTACTTTGACGTCAAATTTTGGTGTTCTGTTCAAATGAATTCATTTTTTCGTTTTCAACATCTCTTTCATTCTGTAAATGAAGCAGTAAAAATCTCGGGATCCCGGAGCTGTATTCCCAGAATTTCGAGACATGGAAAAATGTCCGGGATCCCGGTAACCCGGGATTGAATGCCCTAGTATATACATATGAATAAAAAGTAGTTTACTCTTTCAAATGATGTATAAAACAAATTAAGGGCCAATGATAACTTGTGCATGAATTAGCTTTCGATTATAGCTTCCCATACCCAGACTATTTCAATTTTTTAAGTAATTTATCTTTAGGCGGCCGCTTCCATTCCGCAGGGCCGGAGTTCATGCCCTGGTCAAAGCAACAACGCAAAAAAAATTAGAAAAAAAGATTTCTTCTTAACAGCGGTCACCCCCAGGCAGGCAATGGCAAACCTCCGAATGTACTTCTGACAAGAAAAATAGCTTCTCATAAAAATGCAATCGCCGTTCGGAATCGGCGTAAAACTGTAGGTCCCTTCTCTTTGTGTGACAACATCAAAGCGCACGCCACAAATCGGAGGAGAAGCTCGGCCAAGAACTATAATATGTGTAAGCGTCAAACTATTATTATTATCTTAAGGTCACAGACGTATGTATGTATCTACATACATGCATATGTATCCTTTTACTTACGCATTTAATCATCTGGGAATTATTTTGCCTCTAACTCAAAGTACATGTTTTGATTATTTGAACTGAAAAATGAATTGGGTACCTTAATATGTACTTACATATATACTGTATGAACATGGGCGTAGGCAGGTAGGGGAAGGGGGGCGGCTCGAGCCCCCCCCCTAACTTTCAAATTTTCCTTATATATATATAAAATAGTACCCTGAAATGCAAGCTTAATAGGGTCGAGCAACCTCCCCCCCTAAATTTCATTCTGGCTACGCCGATGTGTATGAATATTGATTATCCTGGAAAATAAATAGTTCATCATTGATAATGCTACCAGCCATTTAGCTCACCACTCATATGGCTAGCTTGGAGGCCTGCGGTAAATAAATGGACTACAACGCACCTCTCTAAAGCTACCCACTGGATCTCGACACCGAATCGTACGAAAAGGCGCAGGTCGCGACTTAGGTAAACGCAATAGGCAGAAAACTCGCTCATACTGACGCAAACCTGGAAAGTGATCAATACGGAGAAAAGGTGTCAACCAAGTTAATTATGCCTTCGGAAAGATCAAGGTCTACCAAACATACGATGAAATCGTCATTTAAGGAAACTAAAAAAGCACCCAACGACCATGAATTGAGGTTTTTGAACGCAATTAACCATTCATAGCTAATAGAAAAATGCCCCTTTGAATTTGTATCCTTCAAAGATCCTTCCAAAGCTAAAAACGATCATTTATTACAAATATAGATTTTTTTATATATGAGAATAAGTACATACTTTTGCACGACAATCGCACCGCTTATAACTTGTGGAGCTCTAGTCTGGTAGAAAGTGCTCAAGCATTCGTAAATGATGCAGCCGCAAAGGCCTTTAGAGTAATATAATCAAAATTTTTGACATAGGCCTACATATCGGGATCAGGACCGACTCAAGACGGATTTATAGCTCTAGTTCACAACAACGATATTGAAGAAATTCGGAACTAGAACGATGAATATGCCTTTAGAGACCGGCACCGACTACATTACGTCAGATTCGTATACAATTTTCAACTATGCTATAATGCGATGATGGCCTACTAAGTCACGTCAACTGGTCTTTCTGTTGGGTTCCTGGACATAGGAGTATCGAAAGGAAAGAAATGAACTCTCAAGGTCTCAAGGCACGCGACATTACAGAACACTGTGTTATTGCAGAAATGCTCCTAGGGTGGTGAATACCAACAAACTCGTTCCGCAAAAGCTGTTGGAATGAGAGGGAAAAGAAATCGATTCACCATTTCCTTGGTCAATATCCAGCTCTCCAGATAGATACTGAATCACTTGGGTTCACACTCTTTCACCAGCTTGGCCGATATAACAAAAGTGAAAATATCGGACCTCAAAAATTTCGTACGTCACTGTAAATGGTTTACCAGACACTATAACGACACTTTGGTTGTACCTACAGTTAGCGTTAACTAGACATGGTGTAAACGGCCCCAAAGTTCTGATTAGCAAAATAACTTTGCCTGAATTATTTGAATATCCAAAGTTGGGAAAAACTCCAAAATACAGTAGGGCTATTCAGAATGTTATGGAAATTGTCTTGGATTTGCAGTTGGAATTACATTTGAAAATTTTTTCCTTGCTGCCATGGCAACCGTGCGCATTTTATTGTCCTGCGCCTAAGTCGACTTAAGAAAGAATTGAGTTATACATATATGCTATCGTTTTCTGCAACTACTATTCCATGTGTATATGAAACTCCATGTGTATTTTGGTTTCCCCATAAGGTTCTCAAATTCAGGTTTTTCGACTTAAGCGATTTATATACCATTTATATTTATTTATTTATATTTATATGTACATATGTACCAGTCGATTGATTTTTTAATCAATTAGCTAATTCGATTAAATTCAATCCGATTACAGTTCATCGTGATTAATTTTATCTTTATTAAAAAGTTAATGGTAACCGCGATTAAAAAAAAAATTATAATTTTAACATACATATGTAATGTATGTTTATTAAAAGATGTGGTTTTCTATCTATCAAGTAATACAAATATGTATGTATGTATTATGAACTTTTCTATTACTTACAGAGGGCTGCAACGCTTATGGCCATGCTTGTTACGGTGGACATGGAAAACGTTCACTGGGCTCATTGAAGGATGAGATGCGGGTGAATAATGCGTACAGAAACGAGAGAGAGTTATTAAGTCCAGACGAGTTACTGCAGGTGATGCCCAACGAAGCGACAGCACTATTGCCAGAAGGGGAAATTGAAACGTTTCCCAGATATCGACTCATCAAGATTATGAGGTCATTGGTAAGTTGAGGAAAATGTTGCATGCATACTAGGGTGGTCCCTCAAATATATCAACATCAAAATTTTTTATGAGGCATCCCTTTATTTTGTTATACCTTAAAAAATGGGAGTCGCTGGCAGCATTTGCAAAAAATTTAAATTTTGTTTTAAATCTCAAAAATTCTACAAAATTTGTACCAAGGTAAATTCATATTAGGTGGTGTTGTTTTATCAGCTTTGAATTTCGCTGGTGAGTGAATGAAAACGTAGGAGTGTTGGTATTTTATATCGCCCTTTTTCCTTCGGGGAAGAAAAGCTGAAATTGGACAATGATCCGCTAAAAGCGACAACAAAATAGAAGTTATTTTTGTATTTGTAGAATCGATACCACTTTATATGAATTCGCCTTGATTTGTACTTGAAACCTGATAAATTTGACATTTCCTTGAAACTTATGTATATTAATTCTTTAACTCGCTGGGTCATAGCTGGTCAAAGTCAGTATTTTCACGAACTTTTAAATTAAAAAAAAAATATATAAAATTTTTTTAAACCCCGATAGTGATCCCAAATTTTCTTTTTAATTTTGGAATTTAGTTCTAAGTTCAAATAATGTTGATATTTTTAAGAACCACCCTAATGTACACTTATTGCAAAGTAGGCCTATGCTGCTATGCACATACTACCTATGTACATAGTATATATGTATGTGCATATATTTGTGTATGCAAGTGCACTAAAATTATAATTTTTTTAATTTTCACTGCAGTTGAGCGGACACCTGAAACGACCTAACGAAATCGACTACCCCATTTCAGCTGAGGCATTCAGCCGGGACAACAGCAACGACTTCAACTGAGATGCCAAACAAATTTCAACTACCCCCCAGCGAACCATATAGCCTATTTAATTTACCTAGCCACAGACACACACAAATGGGAACGAAAAACAAATTGCATTTGACTGCAATAAAAATTTAACTCACAATTAACAATGGAAATTTATTTTTATTTTATCAAGGATGAAAATGTAACTAAAAAATATGTAAGAATGTTAACAAAGATAGCAAATACAGGTATAAAAAATATCTTATAGATTTCTTTTTTTTTCAATAGCCGTCTTCGATTCGCCACTTCTCGCTCGCTATGTTTGAGTTCCGGTCGCTTAAAGAAGAATTTTCTATGTGAAAGCAACAACAAAGTTAGCTAGCACGGATAGACGATAGCGAGTTTGGTTGTACCTCATTGAGTTCGTTCGTTTCGCCACTCGTTAACCGTTGGCGAATCGATGACGGCTAATAAATCTATAGAGACGTCTTTATGTCTGTATGTATAAACACATATCTTATTCACAGCTACAGCTGAAATTTCAAGGGCTGGAAAATTTCAGTAAAAGCCATCTAAAATACATAAATGACACTTGCATTTCATATGTACATACACAACAGCTGACGAAATATTCTAAGGATTTTAGTTATAAAATATTCTGACATAAAATTCTATTTAGTATAAGGCAAGTGAAATCGTAGCAGAGCTCTAAAAATGTTCTAAAAATCAAAAATAAAAAATAAAGAAATTCAAAGACTATAGGATATAATTATATACCACCCATGACTATGTACACATGTAAATGTTAATAAATTATTTTAAAGCTTGAAATTTATAGAAAATTCTTTATTCGTAAAGTAGAAAAATATTTATAAGGTAAGTGGAATCGGTAAATAAAGTACAAGATAAAAAGAATTGGGGGGGGTATATAAAAACATTAGCTGCCAGGGAATAAATCAATGAATCCAATTTTTTATATTTATACATATGTACATACATACGTAAGTTATGTATGTACGTAAGATCACGCCAATTCAGTGAAAAAAATGATGCAGGCAAAAGGGACATGATGAAATCGTACCCAACGTGAGCAATGTGGGTATGTATTAGGGTGTTCGATTAATCGGAAATCGGTTTTATTTTACAAAATGCTATGTTTGTATGATGTCATGACCAAAAATTACAATAAAACCAATAACAGGTAAGGTAGCTTTTATTTAAAAAAGAACAAAACAAAATAAGTTCAAAGTTTTTTTTTTTTAGATCATAAGCTCTTGGCGCCATAGCCGAGTGCTTAGATCTGCCTACTGCCACTCGGAATGCCCATGGTTCAGTTTCTGGTCCAAGTGTACTTCTGCCATAAAAAATCTTCTCCGGAAATGGAGTAAAAACGTAGAGATCTCCATTTGTGTGGAGGAGAAGCTCGGCAAAACACTTAGAAATCGTTTCAGTGCCAATCATTAATTTCTTTAACCAAATATGAACAGTATGTTCAACCCCAAATAACCTAGGATACAATTTTGAAAGTATTTAGGGGTTCCCTTAAACTGGAAAAAAGCTTGAAAACTTCGAAAAGCTCAAAACTTTTATTGAGGTCAGGATGGGCTTGAAATGAAAAAAACCGGTTTGTTAGATAAAAAAATACGGGTTATTCGGTTTGGAAAAACCGAATCAACCACCCTAGGATATATATACATTAGACTGCGTCACTCACTATAGAATAAAATGTTTCCATTGGAATTATAAAATATATTATATTTTAAATCTTTCACCAAGGTTTTTATGAATAAAAATAGTGTCTTAAAGATTTTTTTGAAAAAATACCCTCAAATGGTAAAACGGTTTAAGCTTAAAAAATTTGCATGTGACATCGATATAGGGAACTGAAATACTTGAATGCGCCGAGTATGAAATCGCCTGAAATTTATGTTCATTAGGGTGGTCCAAAATTGCATGTGAAAAAGTAAAGTCGGAATTTTTATGCTCTCACACCCTAGGATTGTTCTATACCGAAAAAAATATATCACTACTTTTTATTTTTAAATCAAAAAATATTTATAGGTCGCCCAAAGTGCTTAAAGTTTCTCATGTATTTTATATGGGAAAAAAGTACTTTTCGTGGAAATGGAATAGAATTCTTGAAAATCAATATTTTTCGATCAGAAAACTCTGTTCCTCTTCAGGAGATTCCTGACTGAAACTGACCGACGCTGAGCCACACATATCCCGATAGGTTCATAGCGCTGCCAATTTGAGAACAATGGCATACAAGATGCTCTAAGGTTTCCGTGGCCGCGTGCTTGAGCCAGCAGAATATGCCCGTAAGCGGCCCGGTGGCAAGTGTGCAATCCTTCCTTGATAGCTTTAACTAAAAGCGAGTATGTATACATAGTTAGTTTCGCTGTTTTCGAGCATATTTTTTTGCATTTTGCAGGTGGTTAACTCTTTCCAGCTAGTCCCGAACTGCTTAATCAAATCATGGCCTACTTCGTGTTAGTAGTGTTGGAGTGGTCTATGAATTTAGTTTGCCTGTTCGAAAACCAGAAAGTACCTCTTTGTTTCACCATTGTGTAAGTGCCTCCTTTTCACACCTTAAATGCTTTCATGGATCTACCACCGCTTGGTCGGCTGTTATTGCAGAAGTAATACTCAAAGAAGCCAGTTCATGGATTAAAGGAATCTCCGGCCATTCGGATATTTTAGGCATACCAATGGTTCTCGGGTGTGTCATAAAGAAGTATTTGCCATCCATGAGGCAGCATGGATTCTCGCTCGCATACCTAAAACAGACAAACACGTGGATATTGGGAGAAATTGTAAAAGTGACGGACTAGCACGGAAAGAAGGTTTTTATGTAAATCAATGGATCCATGCAGTTTCAAAACCATAGAAGAAGATTACGTAACCAAACAACTAGCGCTGTGCTCTTCACTGGAAAAGGAAGTAAGGACGGCCTTGTTCCCCCCGCTCCTAAAGAAGTCGCTATTCACAGTTTTCCGAAGTAAAATATTTAGGTGTAATCCTTGATAGTCAACTTTTATGGAAGTCCCACGTTGAGTCAAAGACCTCCAAAGGCTAACAGCACATTGGGGTCTATGGGAATCCTGCGGACTTACACCTCTATGTTGTGTGTGTGGTGGGCAAGACATTCAATCAGTAGCTTGGGAAATGTGTTTGCCAAATTTCAAAGAACGATCGCTGTGTGACGAACGGGAAAAAGTGACAGAAGAATATAGAGGATGGCAACCCCGCCATCACGATTAAGATTAAGATCGAGATTGGGATTGAAATTAAGATTAAAATAACTGTTCATTAATATGTAGAAAAATACTCTTATAATGCGCGAAGGCATTTTTTCTTAAGATTCATTCGATTTTCAAAAATAAAGACTCAAATTATAGGGTTTGGTTAATAAACGTGCAAGGTTTTATTTTTTCGGAAAGAATTGCCACTTGTCAAAAAATTAAATTCAAATTATTTAATAACTTAAATCAATTATTGAAGTATAGGTATCAGTCGTCATATTTTTAAAAAGGCTTTATGCATTTTTTAAAGTGAAAGTACCTACCATTCATTGCGACAGCGTCACCGCCACCCGTCACCATCACCGTCAACTATGCTTATGCGTCAAGTTACACATCATTAACTCGCTGACACTCTTTGCAAAATTTGTATTTTACTTTTTTAACTTGTTCTATTAGGTTTTCCTCCATTATTTTTTACATTTCGTTTTTCTATAAATATTAAAATTTTCACAAACTGGAAAAATTTACGTTGAAACATGTAAACAAAACACTGAATAGTTGTCATTTGACGCAATCGCATACGCAAAATTGAGAGTTGAGCTAATTTGTGCGGCACCGTCAACGTCAGCTTGTTCATGTAACTTACTTCATACAAATACACCGAATCAGCTTTTTTGACAACTGCCGGTGACGGTGACGGTGACGGTGACGGTGACGGCGACGCAATGCACGTTATGTACTTTCACTTTTAACTACATCTAGGAGAATTTCCACCTGTTTAAAAAATTAAATTCAATTTAAACTGAGGCAATTAAGTAATTGAGATTGGTGCCTTAATTTGGGTGTCAGACGAAAGCGATTTCAAAAGGTGTTACATAGTTTGAAAATATTTTGAAGAGGGTTGCCACCTGTTTGAAAGGCCAAATTCAATTAAATTATCCGCAAGCTATATATAATATTAATAAATGGGTTTTAAACGAATGAATGGTAAGAAATTTTTAGTTTTACCATTTAGGGCCGGTTGTTCAATGTCTGGTTAGCACAAATCGAAAGTAGAAGCTGCGGTTAAATACAACGACTGCTTTATCGATCACATGTTATGTGCATGATGTCGAAAACGTCGATAACGATGTTTAACGGGAGGTAGTTATAACTAGACATTGGACAACCGGCCCTTAGAACATTTTCGAGGTATTTGAATAGAGTTGCCATTTGTTTAAAAGGTTAAATTCAGATTATTTAGGGCCAGTTTCTCAATGTCTTGTTAGCACTAACTGCAGGTTAAACATCGTTATCGACGTGATCGACTCCATAACATATAACAGGGAGTTTTCACCATCTCCGGTTAACACTAATATCCAATTAAACACTTGTGTGCAAATTTTTTATCCGGATCCCGATCATTGTCCAAGAAAACACAGCGTAATACGCGGTTTTGTAATTTAAACGACGATATAAGCATTTAAGTTTTTTATTTTACTTCATTATATGGGGACTTTATTTACACCACATTTAAATTACTTCTCCATGCACCTCTCCTTTTATTTCAACATCTCCATCGTCGTGGCTCCGGTCGATTTTCTTTTACTGTGCCTATATAGCAACACGAATTTTTTGACATAAAAGAAGAGGAAGAATCTTTTCTGTCACCAGAAAAATAGAAATAGATCTAATCTGTCCACAAGCACAAAATAACACTCGTTTACAGCAAATATGTTCTATGGATGCCACTATCCAATTCCCTTATAGAATTCCTCGGTGATTCCGAAAATCGAGATCTTTTTTTATGGATAACTTTTGAGAAATTTCCAATTTACCGTTACTCAGCTTTAAAAAATAGTGGTTTCACTTAATCACGTATATCTTACGAACCAATTGAATAATGGTAACACGAGATACGGGAAATGAAAGAAAATGAAATTCTCCATAAACTGTATATATATCACTTTTCGATAGCCCTGATAGTTTCGGAGAAATTAATTAATCGCCTTAATTTAAAACCTTACGTAAATATT